TGCTTAAGAATGAAATGCTTTATTATTCAACAACTATTCAGTAGCATCAAGAGTTAACTGATTGCCAAACCACCCTCATGGGGATGTGGTTCCCTTCTCAGGGGATGAGTTATTACACAGAGAGTTCCAGACGTTTCTCGGTGATTACTGTGAGTTCAGTGCGTGACACTGTCGTAGCCTCATGCTGGTGAAAGGCTGGGTGAAATGCTCTGGGCAGTGTTTTTTGGAAGAACTGTGGGTTCACAGAAGGGAGCAAATGGAAGTATTCCCTGTAGAAAGCCAAGGATTTGGGATTCAGATCCATACATTTCTTAGAAAATTTGAAAAGTTTTGGATTTGAAGCTTTTTAATTCCCAGCATTTAGGTAAATGACCTAAGTCACAATGATAGGTTACCTCCTTGGAATGGGAGAAGTCAAAGCTTGGCAGAATGAAGATTAGAAAGTGAATGGAAGCAAATGTTGCTTGGGTGTTCCGACAATAAATGCTTTATAAATATTAAAAATCAGCAGAAGAAAATGAGTCAGATTTTCAGACTAGTAGTTTTTTGGGCATCAGTATATGAGGGCATTAATAAAATTCAATCAGAATACGAGGAAGATCTGTAAAACCTATATTGGGGAAAAAAAATGTTTCAGAGGGCTGCATGATGTTCATCTTCACTCTTCCCTGCAACTTCCATAGTGCTTGACTAAGTGCTATGAGATTCTTAAAGGCATGACTTGTCTGGAGCAGTTAATTAACAGAAAGGCAGAGGGCTGTGATTAGAATTTGCAGTAATTCTGGAGAAAGTAATTAGAGCAGCCTTGGTATTAAATTGTACTAAACCAGTTTTGTTCAGGGATTTAACACTTCATTCCCTTTTCTGGAAAAGCTTCAAGTGGCCACTTTGCCTCAGGCAAACACTCCTGGTTGGAAAGGCAGATGGTTGGGCCACATGAAGTCCAAGGGATGGCTGAGGAGGTTTATACCCCAGAAGTGATATTGTGAAATTGCCCTATTGGAGATTAGAGCACTTTCTCCTATCACGTGGGGAGAAGGGGTAATTCCCACTGATGACCTTGATGGGATTGAGAAGACTTTAGGGCTGACTGATTCTCTCCTTCAGCCTTGCTGTCTTCAGGTAGATAATCTTATCTTTCAGCAGCAGATTAATATCCTTACAGATCATTCCCAATCTGCCCTTCCATGGTTCTTGCTTCAACAGTTGAACAAAATCATCATCTGACTCTCTCTGTCCCCCAGTGGTGGAGCCTTTGGGAGCCCCTGTACTACACTTATTTTTATTTTTTCTGTCTTTTTTTTCCCCCCACAGACCAGCTTCTTCAGAGTGTTGGTGAATACCAGACTTGTGCTCAGTCTGGAAAGATGTGCCAGGTTAATTGAGTCCCTACATGTTTGACCCATGACCCAAGGAGAGCAAACTTTCTCAGAGTGGGAGGAAGAGGAGAAGGTTTATGTTGTTGTGTTTCATAGACAGCAAAAAGTGGGTCCCTGTGCTGCATGGCTTTCTAGGGAGCGGATGATCTGGAGGTGTGACAGTTTGTTCTTAGTACTTTTCAGCCTAAAAATTCCCAGATAATTTTTCTACAAATGTGTACCCCCAAGTGTCAGAACCACTGGCTGATTGCAAGCCATGCTGTCAAGTTCCTGCTTTGAAGAACAAACCAGAAACCCTCCAAAAACTAGAGAAGAAGAGACAGCTGTAAGTTAGCAGCTGAGAAGGAGGAATGAGTTGTGGTCTTCTGGAGTCACTTGATGTTCCTGGAGCTACTCTAGCAAAGGACCCAGAAAACATGGAACTTCAATCTAACACCACACTCTCACTTGGATCCGGATGCTGCTGAGAAGAGGCATTTAATGAGGAATTATGAAGGAATAATGTAATTGAAAGCTGATCTCGTAGCCTTCATGGTGAGTGCTGTCACGGTTGCTGTCACAGTTGCTCTGTGCCAATGTGACAGGTTTTGTGGCAGCCGCACATGGTAAAGCCCTGTCCTGCAAAACCTGTGATCAGCTTGACCCACTTTTGAGCAGGGTCAAACCCGTGTTTGATCCTCAGGTGCTGATTATCTGTCTGGAGGGCTTTGTCTGCATGAGAGGCTATATGTGAGAAATCTCCTGTGGGCTTTAAAGAAAAATTAATCACTGTATCGCTTTGTTACTTTTAAGTAATTCTCCTATAAAACCATCCATAGGTTCCCAGGAACTGGAAAGCCTGTGCAGAGAGGAGCAGAGCAGGCTCCAGCGAGCACCCAGTGAAAACAGGCTGTAATCGAGTCTGTTCATGCTTTGTGGTTCTGCCCTTTCAGACTACAGGGCATGGGCTGTGGTGAACAAGCACTTCTTACTAAAGCAGTGAATCAGCTTCAATCTGGTCCCCAAAACTCTAGTCACCCCAGTTGTTTCCTTATGTAACTCATCAATTTGATATTAGGTTAAATTTCCTTGGCCATTACTGACCTGTTCACAGTGTTTTAGCAGTTCTGCCCGTGGGCTCTGGAGAGTATGAGGAGAGGGATGACCAGTGTCCCAGAAAGCTCCTGCTCAAATTGGAAATGACAGGGCAAGGATGGGAGGCAAGGACGCTCCTGTTTGTTTATCAGACTGGGCCCTCAGAGGTAGGAAGTGCCCTTAACTCTGGCATAGCTGGCAGCTCAGTTTATATCCTCTCCGTGGCTCATGTGCTGTGAAGCTCATGTGCTTCTGCTGAGCTCAGCTTCACCATTTGTGACTTGATGTGGCCCCTCGGACTGTCCTGTGCCCTTCCCTGTGCTTTGTGTCTTCAGGTACCTGTAGATGGTGACCAAACTACTGCTTCTGCTGTCTCTTGGGGAGAGAGGAAACAAAGCTGCTGCTTAGAAGTGCTTGGGTGGACTGGCTCTTTCTTGAGCATCTTTACAGGTCTGACCTGTAGGGGAGGACATCGGTGTCCCTTAACATTAGAATAACCCAAATGCGTACACCAAGAGCAAACTGGCTTTCCCAACGTACCTTTTAAAAGCTTATAGCCTTTGAAGGAAAAATAGATCTGAGTTAAAGTAAAAAAAGAATAAAAAAAAATTCCTTCATTCACAGCCAAAATGACTGAACTCAGCTGTCTTCTGATGCCTGAGGAAAATGTGACTGAGAGTCGTATTTTGTGTTTTCTTTCACATTTTACCAAGGGTGAGCACAACATCTTGACAGAAAGGAAAGCACGGGAATTTCATTCTGGCTGCTATTAGGAAGTACCCCAGATTTCCAAATAAAAGATGCTTACCTGCAATGGGAAAGCTTCTGGAGGGCTACCTAGTCAGTAATGAAAAAAAAATTATGCAGAATGACATTTAGTTCTTCTTATTGCTGCATTTGAGCCAGGAAAAATTGACAGATTAGTCATATTCTATTATAAATGTCTTACTGTACCCATGTTTACATATTTATCATTAATATCAGGCTCTCATACACTTAGGATTCTGGGTAAAGATCCTACGAATTGTTTGCTTTTTGAGTCAGCTTGTTTGATGAGGAGATCTATTCTGCAAGAAGGAAGTGAAATGTCTCTTTTAAAGTTAGGACATATGAATAAATACTGCATTTTCTTTATGAACGGAAAATTGAAGCATCTCATCACAAAATACATTTGATTAGCAAACTGGAAAAAATAATGGCTTTTCCAGCTATGTCATCACTTACAGCTGTTCTCTTTCACTCTTGTGCTGAAGAGTTTAATGTCTTCTGGGAAGACAGAAAACAGTGACATCACTGGAGATGCTGGTGCAGGTGTAACTGTGCCTGCCTGAGTTAGGTGTTCGCCTGCATATCGGCTTCATCAGTATGATTTATCATGCACCAGTGTCTAAGAGATCTAGCTGGAATCAAGGTTTCAATATTTTAGGTGCTGAAGAGAAAAATACAGGAGATTTTTCAGACATTTGAATATATTAGGGTAAAACTAGTTGCTGCTGATTTTGAGTATTTCTTTGAAAGGTAGGTTTGAAAGCAATGTAAAAAAAAGATCAATCTCTCCTTCTCCAGACTCTTAAAGCTTCCAAGAGATTATGTTCCTGGGGAACGTTTTGGCTTCTGCTGTGGACCACAAATCCCCTTATCTTAATGTTGCCAAGTCTGACCTGAGAGGAGACAGTGAGGACTGAGATTATTGGAGTTTAAAAACCATGAATTTTTAAAATATAAACATATGTCTACATGTATGCAGAAAATGAATGACAGCATATATGATATGAAAATACATAGTTTCCTGCTAACAGAAATGTAATTATTCTTCCTGTATGTGCAGAATGTTTTGAGAAAAGAAGTAATATGCTGCAATTTATTTTCACAGCAGAAAATGCACTGTTATTTTTAGTGAAGGGCTCAATACATCTACCTGCCGTGTTTCCCTTTGAGACTACAACCTGTACTACATGCTGCCAAGCACTTAGGGGAGTCCCTCACTGCTGAGTCCAACTTTGCTTAGAGCCCCTCTGCTTTGGGCCCAGCCCTCCCAGCCTCTCATTTCTGATGCAGTTTGCCTTCCCTTTCCCACAGGCAGCATAAAGAACACTTTACAGCGAACAGACAAATGTTTGGAAGTGGCTGTGTGGACACGGTGGAGGAAGACAGATCCCCTCCATCCGAACCCTTGCTCGTCTCAGCCCCGTGGGGTGCAAGTCGGTGTTAATGCAAACCCCACAGAGTTACCTATAAAAAGTCAGTCTTCTCTGACCCCTATTAAATGACCTTGTACGGGTGACTCAGGAGGGAAAACGGCTCTTCTTGCGCGGGTTTATTCCGGGGTGCAGCGATGGTGGGTGCCCGGTGGCTGCATCTGAACATCGCTGCTCTGCGAACTCTCTGAATGAACAGCCTCCAGCGGGTGCGATGGAGAGGGTCAGCCAGTCCCTTCCCCAGCTGGGACGGGCAGCGCTTCCCCCCACCTTCCTCCCTCCCTCTCTCCATCCCTCCCCCGGCCAGGGGCGGCCCTCGCCCCTCCATAAAGCCGGCCGGTCCCGGCGCTCCCCCGTGCCCGCCCGGCCATGCACCCCGCGCCCCGCCGTGGCGGATCCCTGGAAGCGGCGCCGAGCCGGGATCCCGCCGGACAGGTGAGGGGAGCGGGATGGGCACAGGGAGGGGAGCGGGACCGGCCCCGGGGACAGCGCTGCGAGTGGGGCCGGTCCTGGCTTTGCGGGGAAAACGCTGCTTCTCTGAAGTCGCGGTTCTCGGAGCGGGGAATTGGGGGAAAGCGCAGCTTTCTGGTCCCGGTTACTTGGAGAGCGGCTAATTGCCCTGGGCTGCGGCTCCTCTGGTATCGGTGGGAACGTTTCATCGCTGGGATCGGGATAGGACTGGTTATGCTGCTTCTGGTCAGAAGTGTGGGGAAAAAAGTAGTAAAACACAAATGCGAGCACATGAAATGAAGGTAGAACAAAAGTAACTTCTGGTGCATCATTGCTTAGGAGACACAGGGTGTGATATAGCCCAGAAAAATTCACTCATAGGTTATTTCACGTTACAGTGGGAATATGCTCAATGTATCAGAGAAGATCAGATAAAATCAGGGCTTATATGTTGGCTGCAATTACTTATACCACGCAGCTGATAAAGTCTGTAAAATTCCTTGTGAAAACAAGAATGCTGACTGTAATGGAGAAAAGTTTTACAAAAATGTTGGTTTGCTGTAGCCCTCGGATATTTGGAAGCCAAATAAGGGGTTCAGTACAGCTTTTGGTTTGGTGACTGAAAACTAAATCTAAAGAAGACCTTTGGTGTGGCTGGAAAATGTACACGTAAAGTGACCTCTAGTCGTGGTCACTCGTAATATCATGTCTTCACCCTTCCCTACTAAGAACTGTGTCAAAAGGACAGCGACAAAGTAAGCAGCTACTTAGAGGGAGGAGGTTATGAAATGTCCGTTGAGACTTTTTATCAAGCATGATTAATGTCAATCCGTATCAAATACTTTTTTTAAAAATATTTTTTTTCTTCAATGGATGGCTCTAAACTGTAACTTCCTTTAGATGAATATGTTTGGATAATTTTAAATCCTGGTCATCCATTAGTATAATGAATTAAATCACAAAACATGCACCCTCAAATATCTGTCCTTTGGGGAGGAGGAGAAAGGAAAGGTAATTGCTATGAGCTCCGAAAAGAATAACCTTTAACCTCACAACACCTAGTTATTGATCTAAATAAAGGCTTTAGGATATCCTTCTGTTTGCATATTTTCATCAAGACAGAGTCAGGTTGATGGAAAATCAGTTAATGATTTACATCACTCATAAAAAACATCAATGCAATATTAATTCCCCCTCACCCTCCAAAAGGCTTTAATGTGTTACCGTGCAAAGGAAAAGTGTCCGATTTTATTACAGTTTAGTTACTGCTACAGAATAAAAAATGAATGTGAAGGTGCAGCCATTGGAGGAGAGGAATTGTTTTGCATTACCATTTTCTCTTGTCTTGCACCCAAATGGTTGCTGCATTAATGCAGACTTGTCTACAGTCCAGTTTCTGATTGAAAGTGAAAGATAAGCGTTAGTGTAGGGTTAAAGATGTAATTGGTGTGCGTTTGGCATTGTAGGCATCTGAATTTCTCTTCTGCAACTTCTTCTAATTTGCAAGTTAGAAGTCATTTCTAGAACTTAATATAAGAACATACCGCATTTTGTTGCATTTTCTTCATCAGTCTCTTAAACACATAACTTTATAAATGTTGTCACCTGATTCTAGACGCAGTTAGTTGCAGCAGCGAAATACAAAATAAGAACTCTTTGATGCCTGTATTCTGTTCTAGTTGTGCACCTTATAACGTTGCATGTAACTGTGCCAGATCTCATAAGATGGTCTGGTCTTCAGTCATGATCCTGAATATGGAAGGAAGCCAATATGCTGCATATTAGTCATATATATAAAGCAGCCCATCAGTTATTGCCTTCAAAGACCACCATCTAACTCTATTTGTAACGGAGACTTCTTTGCATCCAGTTTCCTCTACAGCAGTATAATCTGAATAGGATTTGGCTCACACAAATGGCCATTTTTGCACTTGAGAAAACAGCCAATAACCTATGTGGAATTGTGGAGTCAGTAGATATTTCTTTTCTACTTGAAGTACCTTTGCTCAGTGCCTCTTCCTGGCTCTTGTGATCATGATCTGACACTGAAGCAAACTGTGAACCTGCAAGCTGCTCAGCTGAACCTGGACTGGGCCCTGTCACACACTTTCAGCAGAGAATTTGATGTCTGGACTCCAGCTGGTGGAGATCAGTGACTTTTCTGAATCAGAAACAGTGTGAAGGTCTGCCACTGTTGTTCAGGATCATCATATAGTGACAACTCATTAGAGATGGGGACCTGGTCAGAAATCCAGATATTTTCACTAGCATCAGTGGGCTTGGACCTCTTCCATGGGATACCACCTTGGCACCCTAAAATGCTCACATATAGTAACCTGCTTGAAACCTTTCTTAGAGCATCATCAAATATCTGCCTCATTGTAAACTCAATTTAGGATGAAACTAATTTCATTATTTTGTGAGGCAAATTGCCTTCTTCATCAGAAATGTTCTCTTTTGCCTTCAAAATCAGAACATTTTGATAGAAGACAGCTAAAATCTGGGATTTTTATTTTTAAACCACTTAGTTACAGATAGAAACATTTAGCTGTTCAGTATTATCATTTTTAAAGAGATTTAAAGTTGGAGAGACTGTAGAAGGGAGTCAGTGGAACTGATGTGTTTTGATTGCATTTTTGGTTTGCTCTTTCCATTTCTGAAAATGTCTCCAGATAGTCATATCTTTAAAAGCTGTGTCAGAACAAAAAATAATTCCAAATAGCAATAGAGTGCCTTCATTGTTCCTTTTCTGTCTCGCTGACTAATTCAGAAACCTCACCTTTTTCTTTCTATTTTTGTAAGGTTTGAAGACGTGAGACACAGCCTCTTCTTCTAAGCCCTGTATTTTTTCTTTACTTTGCATTTTCCACCAATATTATTTCTGTTTGTGGCCTGGATACCTGTAGCTAAGGATATGATCTTTGATATCAACACAGCCAGGAGTGTGATCACTAGTAAGGTACAAAAACCACACAGTGTTTGAAGTCTGAATTTTTACTGTGTGATTTGGGTGATTATGCCAAGGATTTGACATAGGAATTAGGGAACCTGGCAGATGGAGTAGCTTGGGTGGGGCTGATCAGAGTGTGTCTCTCTAGTCAACAGGTTCTGGTTAGCATAATATTTGAACTTTTCAGGTTTGTCTCCTTGCTCTATGGAAACAGTGCTTTACAGTTCTGTAATGAGAGAAAGGCAAATGATTTTTCAGTTCTGATCTACTGAATCCCATTCCACCTTTTCCTATTTACATCCTGCGGGATGTGGATTGTTCCCTTTACTAACATTCATTGAGCTTGCTAATGAAGTGTTTTATTTAACGTACTATTTCTGCTGACACCTTATAGTTCCCCTTCCTCACGGTAACAATGCTAGTTATAAACTACACCTTGAAAACATTTTCTGCATCCTTGGGAATGACTAAAGATGTCTATAAAACCACTCAACAAAAAAAAAAAAGATATCTTGGTATTTCATTCTCAGCTCTCACAGATTCCATGTGTCCCTTAACCTTATGCCTGTTATTGTGTAATGATTTAGTTCATAATTTTCCTTTTGTGGTTGACCAGTCAAAGCACAGCATTCCCCCAAGACAAACTGAAATGTAAAAATTCACACTTTTTGCACTACTTCCTGTTCAAAAAACCTTTTTATTTGTCTGAATTTAGTTAAATAAGTCAACTTACATGATGATTGAAGATAATAAAGAGAATGAAGACAATGCATCTGAAAGAGGAAGGACAGCTATCATTTTTTCCTTGAAGAATGAAGTCGGAGGACTTGTAAAAGCATTAAAACTCTTTCAGGTACATTATAACCATATTGGTACAGCTGCTCTGTATTTTGAAATTGTAAGGATATTTTTGGAACACACTAGAATGAATTACATCCATTTATTAATGATTCTTCACCTGGCTCCCACTTTGCACACAAAATTACCCAGAAAGGCAAATTTATTCCTCAGAAGTTAGATGATGGTTGGCTAAAAATCTTCACAAAAATTCTCATCTGCTAGGACTAAATACTGAGAGAGATTTGTCTTTTCCCCTTGTGAAAAGAGGATTGGCACTCTTTTTCGCAGAGTATAAGAGGTGGGTCTGAAGCTCCTGCTGATGGTAGGTAGATATTTGGGGTGCTGGGGTGCTGGCCTGTGCTCTGCTAAGTCCAGTGCCCTTGTCACCCTGTCCAGACTCTGGGTGGCAGAGGAACTGCAATTGCACAGCTGCTGGGCAGGTATTGCGTAAGGAATATATGCAGCAGTGCCACTGTGCTCTGTCATGTGGCTCTGCATGTCTTAGCCTGGGGTTTTCTCAATGATCCTAATATAAAAAGCAGGATTAAATAATTTTTCAAATAAAAAAGAAGTGGAATTTATGCCCTGAAAACTACTGTTTTTAAATTTCTTGCTTGGTTGTTAAATAATTATACGGTGAATTGATCAGTATTTTGGTGAATCTCCCCAGACCCAGTTGCTAATCAGCTTCCTATGGGAGGGATGAAAGAAAAAGGTCTGTGAATTTAAACTTCCTGAATGTGTCTATGTGCTTCCTGCATGTAAATAAAACTGAAAGAACACAGGTTCTCTTTCGTTTTCTTCTGAATGGAAAATCAAATAATTTCCCCCCTCCAAAAAGCAAATTGCTATCAAGAGATCCAGTTAACTGAAATAGCTTCATAAAGATGGTGAATAGTCCATGGCAGTAAAATATTAGTTTGAAAAACAAATTTTAGGTTTTCAGTCTATCTGCTTGAAAACATTACTTCTTACAAAACAGGAGAAGCACGTAAATCTGGTACACATTGAGTCACGAAAGTCCAAGAGACGAAATTCTGAGTTTGAGATCTTTGTGGACTGTGACAGTAACAGGGAACAACTGAACGAGATCTTCCAGCTCCTGAAATCCCATGTCAGCATTGTCTCTGTGAGCCCAACAGAGCATTTCAATGGCCACGAAGATGGTAAGTACAAAAGGCATTTCCGACGAAAATGCCCTTCTGACTGTGTTGGTTTGAAATCTTTTTATGGTGTCCACATCTGCATTTGTGTAGTGTCTTCAGTCACTAGTTACCAGGTGTGTGCTTCTGTGTTGTGAGTGAGCGTAGTCTGGTTGACACGAGCAGAGCTGCGCTGGCTGGTGCCACCTGGCAGTACAGGCTGCTTCAAGCTGCTGCCAATTGTGTATCTGCTGTCTGTGCTCCTGTCCCTCTGCAGCATAGCCCAGCTGGCACCAGTGAGGGTTCTGCATCCATGCAGGTCACTAGAGGCGAAGTCTGAATGCAGGGCTTGAGAACACCACCACGATAGAGGCGTAATACTGGCAGATCCCAGTTCAGTTCAGACACTGGTGAGAGTGGAAGATGGATTCTGCAATTTCCTCATGTAGTTCTTGATTTCCTTATTTTTTAACCACTTTTTCAACATAACTGGTTCCTTATATTAGTGGGAAAGAGGTGCCTTTTAACCTTAGGATGCTTTGCATCCTGTTTACCTTTACTTCTAGCTAAAGAGGTGCCCTAAGTTCAGGGCAGTAGGAAGCTGGTCCTATGTATTTCTCAGCCATTGTGCTTGTGAAGGACAGATCTGGTGCTCTTGGATAAAACAGCTTACTTTAGCTCTAAGTAAGGTGAAATTCAATCCAAACAGTGCCCTGGCCTTTCTAAGTAAACTGAAGAGCATTGAGGCAGAAAAACAGTGTATTAACTGCTCTGCCAAGAGCTTGGCGAAGAACCCTATTAGGCTAAAAATAACCCCAAAGTAGTTGGTAGCAAAACTGTAATGATGGCCCTCTCTAAGGCTGCAGGGCCTCCTATTCCTTTTCCCCTACAAACTCCTCAAAAGGCAAAGCTGGATGCATAACCACGTACATAACCACGGAGAAACATCTATTTCCTGTGGTCAGTAAAGCGGGATGGGAGCACTCTAACCTGCTCCCATTCTGCCCAGGGAACACAGGCAAATCACTTCTGTACTCCTTTGCACACTTTGTGCACTGCAAGATTCCCAGCAGTGTACACAAGGAGACCTTGTCTCTCTGGGAGCCTCTAGATCTACTCTAACAACACTTAAGGGCCAGAGAAAAACCATGTTAACTGTTTCCTTCCCAGAGGCTTTGGAGCTGGCTGTGCTCTCTAGGCAGACTGTGGCAGTGACCGAGGAGGAAGTGTGAGCTGTAGGCTGGTGCCAGATAGGCAGAGGACTCCCTTGTCTTATTCATGCCCTTTTAATTTATAGATTTAGCTGTAACCGCCATACTTGAAAGCAGCGCTTCCTCCCTCAGCATGTTCGGTGTTATTAATAACCTTGTGGATTCCATGTGTTCCTTAGACATGGAGAATGTTCCCTGGTTTCCAAAGAAGATCTCAGATTTGGATAAGTGTGCGAACCGAGTGCTGATGTACGGGTCCGATTTGGATGCTGACCATCCAGTAAGTACTTTTTCCTCCCTACACCCATTCTGTAGTGAAAAAATACTTTGTGGAGCTGACTTTAAAAAATTGCAGCTTTTCTTCCTCCCTCTCCTCTCCCTCAATGGCGCCTCTGTGGGTCTGAGCACCTTCTCTTGGGGATTTCATGTCTCTTTCTTAATTCAGGCAAGACTGAATTCAGCTCCTGTGCCTTTCTGCAAGGCTTACTTGTGGTCTGGGCCCTGAGTGGTTGCATACAAATTAAAAAAGAACAAAACAAAACAAAACAAACAAAACCCCCCCAAACAACAAAGAAAATAAAGCATGCTTGGTTCCTCCTCTTTCTTTCTTCCTTACTGGAGCAACCAAATTAGTATTTGGGCAGTGCAAATGAGCAATTTGTTCTGTAATTTAGAATAATCAAGCAGTTACAAAGTTTGTATAAATACTGATATAACTAAAATTAATCCTTGTCTACTGAATATATAGTTGTATACATAAAACAGCTCATTCTTTCTTTGGAGTATTTGCTTACTTCCTGGTTATCGAACATTTCAGACTACAGCTATGAGGTTCCTGTCCTCTCATTCTTACACAGCACATTCTTACACTTCCCAACTGAAGTGTCATGTGTCTTGTTTCAAATTAATTTATTTATTACAGGTTAGAAACTTATTTACCTTTGTTTTCTTCCTTTCCCCTACCAGGGTTTCAAAGACAATGTCTATCGCAAGAGGCGAAAGTATTTTGCAGACCTGGCTATGAACTACAAACAGTAAGCTTGAATTCTTCCAGAATAAGACTTCTGGGTGCTTTGAAATAATAGCAGAGTGGACTGTGAGGAGCTCACCTTCCCTGGGCTAGAATCAGGATGAGATATGCTTGGCTCAGGAGTCAGAGCCAAGGGGGTAAAACGAAGGGAGATATAAGAGAAGATTAACAGGTAGATCTAGCCTATCTTGCAGCTCTGGTCAGTCTGAGGCAGTGCTGCTTGGCCATTACGGCATCTGCAGTAGTGCTGGTCCTCAGATGGGCAGCGATGCCAGCGTGGTGTGTTTGGACTCTGCAGTTCCTCCCCACTTCCCTGGAAATGGGTGCAACAACGAAGGAGGAAAGACAATGCACATTTGCTCAGCTGCATGTGCCAGGACTCACTGACCATCAGGCAGAGCCGTCTTTGCAAAGGAGAGGGAAGGGAGGCAAATCCCAATATAGCCCATTGACCACAGAGTGTAAACTCTCTGGGCAAATGCTAATACTTGAATTTTCTTTCCTGGTTCAAACTAATGCATGTGATATGTAGATAAGAAGATTTCTGTGAAAAGAAATTCGGAGAGCTTCTGTCTTTAGAGATGCTGCTTGGGGGAGGAGCTCTTAAAGCAGTAAGAGTTTCACAACTCAGTGCTGTGAATTCTTTCTAAATGTGATTTTTCATGTTGATGTTGTCTGATCAAATTTAGGTGTCAAGTTCCTCAACTGAAAACGACCTAGAAAGCAACTGTTACTACAGCACAGGGCTGATTACTGTTAATGTCTTGTTGACAGAGATTCCCTTGGGAAAAAAATTGCCATGCTGGTTACCTGACTGGCAGTGGAAGCTCAGTGTAACACTACCATTGCTATAATCCATTTTAATCAAGGTCCTGAAGACTAAATAGGAGAGACAGACTACAATTAATATGTTCAGACAGGTGCTTGCCTCTTCTGCATAGAAGTGTGATTTTTACCAGATGCTTTCACGCAATGTGCTGTTAATTTAGGGAATTCTCTTTTCCTAAAACAAATCAAAAGGGTAATGGAAAGTAATTGTAGACATGGAAGTTCAACTGGGAAAAGGATGCGTTCTCAGATCCTGAAGCTGTAAAGAGGTTATGCAAGTATTTTTAATCTTACTCTCAGAATTGAACACCTAAGAAACTGTTTACGGAACCAAAGCTTTCAGGCTCCAGTGAGGTCAATGCAGAGATTCTTGACAATTGTTTTAGGTGGAAAAAACAGCAAACCCTTAGACTAAAAGCTCTCCAGGGCATAGACTAGATCTCACTGTGCATTTGACAGTGTCTAATGCACCCTGGCCAGGTGTCACAGCCATATAGGTGTTAAATAGTAATAGTAGGTAAATGAGTCACCTGTTATTAAGCATTTACTGAGGAATGTCCTTTCTTCCTCCTCTCCTTGTAGTGGTGACCCAATTCCCAAGATTGAATTCACTGAGGAGGAGATCAAGACTTGGGGGACTGTGTACCGAGAGCTCAACAACCTTTACCCAACTCATGCCTGCAGAGAGTACCTTAAAAACTTACCCTTGCTCACCAAATACTGTGGCTACAGGGAAGACAATATCCCCCAGCTGGAAGATGTGTCCCGCTTCCTGAAAGGTAATGTGCTAATTTTCTTACATGAAAAGACTAAGGCCCACACTATTTTGTTGGCACAAGGGAACATCCTTGGTCACTTCTGCTTGTATTTGTTCTGGTCCTTTAAGAAGCCTTTTGGCCATCTGAGTTTTAACGTATTGTGTCTTGAACATATAAAAACAGTGACATTTGAGGGACAATGATACCTTGGGCTTGGCTAAAGAGATATGTAGCTGTAATGTTGACTCTAGGCATGGAATCACAGGAAATCCACTGACACAGAGATAGGGACATTTTTAATAAATGTTGGTCATTCTCAGGCTTAGGCCTAATTTTTCTAATTGTGTCTGATTTTCCCACGTGTTCTTGAGGCAAGGTAGTGCTGTGGTTTTCACCTCAGTTGCAGCAGGAAAGCTGTCAATGTTGTGCATTCTACACAAAACTAATGTACAGTTTCTCTGTTCATTTTCAGAGCGTACAGGTTTCACCATTCGCCCTGTTGCTGGATATCTGTCTCCCAGAGACTTCTTGGCAGGACTAGCATTCAGAGTTTTTCACTGCACTCAATATGTTAGACACAGCTCGGACCCTCTCTATACACCAGAGCCGTGAGTCATTTAATCTTGTGGTAGAATTTGAGAAAGTTTTGATTCTTGCTGTTCAGAGCCAAGTTACTAAAAAGCTGTTCAAGAACACCATCATAAAACTTACTTTTAAGGTGCTGAAGACTCAGCCTTCACTGAACATAATGGAGTTTTAGCATGTCGAAGTTCCACCTTTATAAGTACAGGATTTTCAAAAGTACATGTTACTGGAGATCTCTTACTGATGTCACCGTGTGCAGTTAGTTTAATATTCAGTTGCCTCATAAATGTGGAGTTCAGATCTTAATTTTAGACAACTTCATTTTAAAATATGCATTTAAGTATTTATGGAGAGTTGGTATGACCTGCCCAGTTGCTTTCAGATAAGTGAGTGACCTTTTTCTGTCTTTTGGATATTAAAGCTTAGTGCAAGACATTGTATCTGTTCAGGGGTGCTGCTTTTTCACTTTGCCACAAAGACAAATAATGAGATTTCTTGTTTTGTTTCTTTTTCCAGTGATACCTGCCATGAGCTCCTAGGCCATGTCCCTCTTTTGGCTGAACCCAGTTTTGCTCAGTTCTCCCAGGAAATTGGTCTTGCATCACTTGGGGCCTCAGATGAGGCTGTCCAAAAACTGGCAACAGTGAGTGTTTGAGTGCCCAGTGATTCTATCAAAAGCTTTGTGCTTTACTAGGCTGATCCCACTCCATCGAATAAATTTGGAGCTTCATGTTAACATTAGCCACAACAGCTATAAGATCTATGTGTTTCACTGGTCCCTGGTTTTGGAGCATACAAAAATTTTCCATGCTAGGAAAACAATACACTTTAAAGTTGAGATGACTGGTATTTTTCTTCACTTGACTGTCAAGTAACGGTTCAGCTTCTGCTGGTAGGTCACTTTTTCCAGACCAGAAATTCTCTGGTCTATTTCTTCCAAACAAAACCTTTCTTGCTAATGGGAACATGATTCAAGGATTTTAAAAGTAATCTATTTCTTTAATGTGTAGAAGGAATTGAAATGATATTCAATGTGGTGAGTGCTAGCATTAGGTAGTCTTCAGCCAAGAAAGTAAAATAACATAAATTAATCTAATTTTCTGGACATCCATTTCTGGCAAAAATATTTTGAGATTAAAATTAAATTTAGATGAAAAATAATTGATGCCAGTTATGAAAGAACTGGTTTAGTAACTTTTTTTCCCCATCTTGTGTAGTTAGTGGTAAAATTTCTACTACCTTCAGTGGGAGCAGAATTAAGCCATCTATGAAAATAATGTTTCTTCCTGTATACCTGCAGAAATCCTGAAATCCACCAAACTGAAAATCTTCAATTTTAGAGGACACTAAGCAAATGAGAAACAAACTCTAGTGGGCTGTTTTCACTCACTCAGAGGCCCTCTCTCTCCAGTGTTTCTTTTAAGCTGAGGCTGTCATTTCACATCAATATTTCTCGAAACCGATTTACGTCTCACTGTTCCCACTAACATTAGCAGCTTCTAGCCTAGCTGGGTGATCTATAACATCCTTTCCCATGAGAATCATGTAATCTTGTGGTTCTTTACCCTCTTCCATTCTGGATTCCCTCTTTAAATATCTGAGGACAACTGAGGGATGACTGTCTGATGTTTGCCACTATCTGATGCTACCTACAAATAGAAATGCTCACATCTACTTCACCACAGCATCTTTGATGAAGGCTGAATTATTCTACTTTCTTCTCTGTTTCAGTGCTACTTCTTCACTGTAGAGTTTGGCTTGTGTAAGCAAGAGGGACAACTACGAGTTTATGGGGCTGGCTTGCTCTCTTCAATTAGTGAGCTCAAGGTAAGACTGTCTACTGCTTATTTAACTCTTTTCTTTGTACCCGGTTATTATTGCCACTATTTTGCCTTGCTTTTTATGAAGTATAATTCTAAAAATCTTCCTTTTGAAAACTCTTAAATACCTACTAGGCTTTAAGAAAATTCACTGTGGCAATAATTATGGGTTTTTTGGATATATGCTGAGCAGATCCCCTGTCTTTTGCAGGAAGCAGTAGATGACTGGTATTTCTTAACATTCAGGTCCAAGCAACTTCTTTTAGATTAAAGCTCTGTTGGCTTAGCCAGATTCAGAAAATATTGCTCTTGTTTACACATGAGCCTCATGTCTGTGGAATCCCATTTTTGACACAGACTGGCAGAATATGACCATTCAGAGTAATTCAGTTTGTTCAGCTTTAAATGCTGTTTATCTGCAGATAAAAATTTTAAGATGCAATGCACTAAATATTATCTCAACCTTTTTTATTCACTTTGCTACATGTCATGTTCCTCATGGATTCTTTGGATGGTGATGCTCCTCTGACTCATGATAACACATCACCAGCACTCACTCTCTGACAGTGCCAAAGTCAAGCCTTTTGATCCAAAGGTCACCTGCAAGCAAGAATGTCTCATTACAACTTTCCAGGAGGTTTACTTTGTTTCTGAGAGTTTTGAAGAAGCAAAGGAAAAGATGAGGTACAGATTTCCCCCCCTCTTTTATAGAAGCAGATTTCACTTTGTACACCTCTCTGTAGCAGCATCAAATCCTTTTATTCTTATCACAGTTTTGTAATTATTTTTTTCATGGGATTGAAAAGTCAAGATTTGTATTTGCTTTATCTTCCATGTAGTGGGTGGGAGAGATGAAGAACTATTTTTAAGTAGTTTTGAAAAGTGGTTATTTATACTGGCTGCGTACAGAGGATGCACTGGTGTTTTTTGGTTGGTTTTTTTTTCACTTCTATAGAGAGTTTGCGAAAACCATCAAGCGCCCATTTGGTGTGAAGTACAATCCGTATACACAGAGTGTGCAGATCCTGAAAGACACGAAAAGCATTGCCAGCGTGGTGAATGAGCTACGTCATGAGCTGGACATTGTCAGCGATGCCCTCAGCAAGATGGGCAAGCAGCTGGAAGTTTAACACCTTGTTAGCAGTGTGGTGCAATCCAATTCTTTTCTTTTCCTTACTGATTTCTTTCATAGGCTTATAATGTGTTGTAGGCTGAACTCATTCCTTTACAAATGGAAGACTGAATGGCTCATAAGAAAAATGTCATCTTGTTTCTCTCTGTAAAATCCCTTACATAATGTATTTCTCTATCCCCCTTAGATAAAAAAGGTCCAGAGCTGCCTTTTAGAAGCTGATAGGGGAGTAGAGAAAGTGCTAGACTGGAGAAGAAGTGTGGTCTTTGGATCAGGGCTGGGATCAAATGCCCCAGAAGGTGGCTTATGAGGCAATAATGGAATAATTCACCATTTCTGCCCATTTCTGACTCCAGTAGTCTTTGCTACTGATTTTATAGCATTGAAGACTTGATAATGTAGAAGCTGTGGTAATCAGTGCTTCTAAGCCTGTGCTACTAAGCTTAAAACTTGAATGATTACAAGGCACACATCAGGACACAAATAGCTGGAGGTTCAACATGATAAAATGGAGGGGTCAAATCTTTCAGAGGGATTATTCTTGTCCCCAAAGAATTGCAAATGTGCTGTTTGGCATGCTTCTAGTATAAGGCAGAGATACAGCTGTTGCGTGCATCCTAATTTTAAGAGATGTGCTATTGCCTAAGAGTCAGGATTTGTATTGCTGTCCTTGATATTCCACGTGAGGGAAGACCTTTCCTTACAGAGATACCATTTGCCTTTTTCCTCATTGAAATAATTTAGTAAAAGTATAGTAAGACATCAAGTGTACTGCCTTAGAACAAAGCCTAGAACCATTTCCAAAGTACAATTTAATATTCAAAAGTTTAAAATAACAGCCAAAGTTCATAGTTTAGTGTGGTTTTTGTAAAAATAAATATCCTGTTGATGATTGCTCAGTCACTTTATCAACCAGCACAAGTTGCACATAGGTACGTTTAGCTTCCTCTTTACTTGGCTTGAACACCTTCATTCCCTATCAATCAATTGATAACTGAAAGGCCTAAGCATTCAATAGGAATTCTGTGGTCATGAAGGCAATAAACCACTTTGTAGTGTAAGGTACATCTAACTCCAAAGAGCACTTTGCAAGTGGTGGGAAGTAGTGTCCTGATGAACTGCCTGTATTTCACAGTAGCAAACTTGCCTGATTTCAGGGCCCCATAGTTTCAAGCATCCTGCCCAGCTGTGCAAAGCTGTGCTGGCTGCTGCTTCTGCAAGCCCTGCTGATGAAATGGACAGGAGGTGACACCTTTGAATGGGGATCTGTGATGTGCAGGGTGTATTTAATAGCACTGTCAGCACTGGTTTTTCATAGGTAGAGCTTATCAGGAAATCCAGTGCAGTAGAAAAATGAACTGATATCTTAAATACACTGGAGATGATTGTTCAGGATTTTGAGAACTTTAAAGGACTTTTGTGAACCTCTGTGCTTGAAAAGCAGCTTGAGTTTCATATGCTTTCATAGGCCACATCTGCTCCATAAGCAATTGCTGGCCCAACCTTTCCAAGTAGATTCACAGTTTAAATTAAGTCTAGATCACTTTTTCCTGTGGCTATTAATTCATTATAACTTTTTTTTTTAAAGAACATTTAAGATGTAGAATTATGGTCTACAATATTTATGGCCTACATTGCACTTCATTTAAAAATAGATTTTAGAAACTTTGTCTTTCTAAAAAAGAAACCTTTTAAGTGAGTAGTGAGGGAGGATCTATTTTGCCAGCTTCTGTGATAATGTTCAAGTGCAGTTTTAACAACATTGGGATTATTATGTTGTGGAAATATACATAGGTCTGTGTTAGTTCAATCCTTGTCTGAACTATGTATACATTTCAAATAGGAATCCTTATACTTGTTAAATTAGCACCTACTTTCAAATACTCTGTAAAAACAGCAGTTGTATCTTTTATTTGCACTTGTGTAGAGAAAAAAAAGCCTGCTAACAATAATACAGAGAAGATGCATTTCCATGACATTAACAATGTGTATGTTTGGCTTCACCCATCCAAACCTCCTGGCTATACAGAACAGTAATAACTTAAACATTTTAAACTGTTGTGGAGGCTTTAAATGTGGACGAAATAAATGACTTGCTGGTAATTATCAGAGGTAAAGCAACCTTTATTCCACCGCTGTAGCAATAAACTCAGCGCGTTCGCTCGCGGCTCGGGGTTTACGCGTTTTAATGGTGTGGTTCAGATATTCCACGCCCGTGAGCCCGCCCCCGGCCCGCCTCTTCCTGCCCGGCCTGCGGGCGGCGGGAAGCGCCGGCCCCATGGAGACGGAGCTTTTCGCCTGGGTGAGTGGGAGCTCGGGAAGAGTCGGGAACTCCTCCTGCCCCGCGTCCCGGGGCGACGGGAGGGACGCGGGTCCGGATACTCGACCGCCCGCCCCGGGATGCGCTCGCCCGCCCCGGGATGCGCTCGCCCGCCCCGGGATGCTGCGGGGCTCGGCGACCGGGACCGCGTGCGCTGCCACTGTCCCTCGCCGCGCTCCCTTCCCTGGAAAAAGGGGGCCGAGGTGTCCCCTCCCCGAAGGAAAACAACGCTGCGCTTTTACCTGCTGAGCACAGTAGGTGTAAGAGCCACTAAAGGGGCATCTCTGCCCCTTGTCAGCTCTGTTTGCCCCGCCGCAGCCGTGCTTGGCACAAGCCCATCGGTCTGGGCAGGGCACACCTGTGTGTTGTCGGCGTGGGCATACACGCGTACGGCTCCCGGTTACTCAGGCTCCTGTTTCCTTTCTGCGCCGTATCTCAGCTTGCCTGTTCTTGAAGGCTTGAAAATTCATTGCGAGTTATAGCCTACAATGGGAGCTTGTGACACACCTTCTAAAAAGAACTACGTCTGTTAAGTAGTAACACGCTCCAAAGCTGTCTGCCAGTGGTAGTGAGACTGAGACAACAACTTCATCTGCCTGTTGAGCTCGAATCCTGACATCTCGCCCACCTGTTAGCCGTGGGCTGAGGCAAGCAGCATGGCCTCTGTTTCTGTAGGTACAAAATGTTTATTGTTAAATGTGTCCTTTTAACATTCGCCAGGTGCTGCATCTTTGGGGGGTGGAGGATAAATGGAGGGCAGATGGGCAGGGGGAGCACAGGTGAGGTAGGGAAAATCTCCCCTGGGGATCACCAGCTGGGAGCATGGTGGGCGTGGAGTGTTTTACTGCCGTGTGTGGGCTGGGAAGGTTATGGTATCCCTTTTCAGGAATGAAAGTTGCTACTCCAACTGTTGGACATATAATTTAATTGGCTAAAAAAAATTTCATCTCTCGTTACCATGTTTGCAATTGTTGCTTTCTGTGATGGGACTAGTAGCTATAATTCTGTACCCATAAATTAATACTAGCTATAATTGGTATATTTTCATTTGGACCACTTAAAGTTAAAAGACTTTGTTAATGAGGGGTAAGTGTTTCTGATTTAAGTTCCAGAACTAGGTAGCATGTCTTTCTGATGTTGTTTTAGAAGGGGACTGCCAGAAAGCACTGGCATGAATAAGATCTTAATGATGAGTGGGAATCATTAGCATTAAAATTAAACACATCCTGATAGCTAGCCTTTCCTCCTTGGTAACTGTTAGCCCACAGTTGAAGTTTTAACAAGTTATGTTCCAGAATGTTTCTTAAAATACTGGGGTTGCAATGGTAGACTTAATGACATTAAAGTTAGGACAATCTTGGCCTGTAATTCTGGAAATCCTGTGATAGTAGAAAGAACAAAGATTGATATATTAGGGGATTTTCAGGAGCAAATACTGGCTGGTCAACCTGTGGCATTTTCCCAATAAGTTTGTTTGTTCTTGGGAACAGATGTGTGCCATTTTAATTAACTTTAAAAAAAAAGTGTTATTTTTCTGTGTGCATTTAAAGGGTGCAAACAGCTATGGACAACTTGGTCTTGGTCATAAAGAGGATGTGCTGGTACCTCAGGCACTGAAAGATGTTTCCTGCAAATGTCAAGACATTGCAAGCATTGCTGGAGGAGGGGGACATTCTGCAGTTATCACTGGTAAAAACATTGCTCTTGCATGGAATGTATGGCTTCTAATCATGCTTTTTTTGTTTCCCTGATGGTTCGGTGCTGCCACCTCTCTGTGGCTGCTGTTTCTGAGCAAGTACAATCCTCAGTTGCAAAACAGGTTCCCTCCCTGTAGTTAACTCGGTATTTGTGGGAAATTGGGGAAATTCTCTTTTTCATATACTATGTGGTTACTTTGTGTCTTGTGAGGTCTATTTCTTCATCCATTTTATGTAACAGCTTTTCATACAAGGAAGACAAATTTTCTCTATTACAGATAGGGGAGTGGGAGGGAGGAGTGAAGTGAGAGGTTATTCAGTCTTGAGAAATATTAAGGTAAGGACTAGAAGATAACATCTCGTCTTTGAAAGGTTCTGTTGTGTGCCACAGCTAATTATGGGAAAGAAGGAATACAGACAGGTGTGAATGTGATAAAATTAAGTTCATCATGCATCTTATCCGAAGAGGTGCCTGTCTTACCATATGGATTGTTTCCCTTGACAAACACAGCTCTCCATAGCTGTAGTTATTCAGAGATTTTAGATGCATCAGAAACACCTGTTTCTGTTACTCTTTGCTTGAATGTAGTGCCTAAAGTGACACGTAATCACTGTCCTTATTTGTCACAGGATCTCATGGATGTATGTTTCTCTTTTTAGTCTGTGAAGTGGAACCCAATTTGTGTTGTTTTTTTTCTTCCAGGTGGGGGACAACTCTTTGTATGTGGCCATAACAAAAATGGACAGTTGGGATTGAATCACACGGAGGATGTGCTGCGCTTTACCTTGTGTACTGCCCTGTCTGGCTTTTGTGTAAAACAAGTTGCATGTGGCTGGGATTTTACAATCATATTAGTAGGTAAATCTGTCTCTTCATCTGGTGAATGAGATGCTGGACATGAGCTGGCAGTGTGTGCTCGCAGCCCAGAAAGCCAGTTGTATCCTGGGCTGCATCAAAAATAGCGTGGCCAGCAGGTCGAGGGAGGGAATTGTGCCTCTCTACTCCGCCCTAGTGAGACTCCACCTGGAGTGCTACATCCAGCTTTGGGGGGTTGTCAGCACAGGAAGGACATTGACCTGTTACTAGTCCAGAGGAGGGCCATTGAGATGATAGAGGGCTGGAGCACCTCTCCGGTGAGGAAAGGCTGAGAGAGTTGCGTCTGTTCAGCCTGGAGTAGAGAAGGCTCTGGGGTGACCTTATTGTGGCCTTTCACTACCTAAATGGGGCTGCAAGAATGCTGAAGAGGAACTTTTCACAAGGGAATGTAGTGACAGGACAAGGGGTGGCGGCTTTAAACTGAAAAAGAGCATGTTTAGGTTAGTTATTAGGAAGAATACTGTGAGGGTGGTGAGACACTGGAACACGTTGCCCAGAGAACTTGTGGATGCTTCTTCCCTGGAAGTGTTCAAGGCCAGGATGGATGGGGCTCTGAGCAACTTGGTCTAGTGGAAGATGTCCCTGCCCATGGCAGGTGGGTTGAAACTAGATGAAAATCTAGTTGTTACAGTTCTGTTCCTGACTTTCTTTCACACTGTCTGCTATGTGTGTACCTGGGAGGGTCATAGGGCCTAAATATTTCTCCTGCTGTTTTTAGAGTTTATGGTATAACTGTAGAAATCAAGGCCACTCCCAACCCAAACCATTCTATGATTCTATGTGCTGGCATTCACAGGTTTTAAGCTACTTGCCTTGCAAGCTAAATTAGTCCATGTTCCTTGTATCCCAGTGAACTTCAGACCTTTACTGAACATGGTATGTAAGACCAGAAGCCTATGGCCTCAAGGGCTTTCGAATAGGATATGTTAGGTCAGTTTTTGAGCTACTTGGCTGTGTTATTTTGATGGTTAGAATGTTACACTGCTTTGCTTTTGCTCATGAATTCACTGATCTTGCTCTAACACTTCATTTTTTTGCAGGATCGGGCCTAGTTCTGTCCTGTGGGTCAAACTCTTTTGGACAATTAGGAGTTCCTCAAATTTCAGGTCCATGCTTGATTCCACAAAAGATTGAGGTAAAGATTTAAAAGGGGTTGTAGTTTATATTGCTTCCAGCAACTTACAGAGGTCGTCTGACCTAAGTGGGCTCTAAGCCAGACTCTTCAACTATTTTTTTATACAGCCTATCTGTTACAGTAAGCTTACAAAGTAAAGGCCCAAATATGGTCATCGACCCAGAAATGAAAAGCTAAGGCTGCTTTTCTTGTTGTATGAAGAAGTTGCCCCCTTCTAACAGAAAGTTATCCCTTTCATTAGGGATTGTAACATTTCAACATCTGCAGAATGAGCCATCTGCTCAGATGATGTAAAATGATGCTAAAGGTAGTGAAACTGTGCAAATTTACTCCAAGTGAAGATGTGCCTCAAGTTTGTAGGATAGTGGATACCTTTTGCTATATGAAGGGCTTGTGCCTTCACTGCACTTTGTTGCAGGTTTGTGCAAATACATCAAACCGAACCAAACCTACAGTAAACCACCCTTGAGAAAAACAAATTGCATTATAGAGTTCAACAGACTTGGCTATGCCATTTCTTTTGATCTATTGCTCTTGTGCATCTTGTGCAACAGTTCTGTTTTTTAAGTATGTGTTGTTTTTTTGAATGTGTAACTGTCAGAATTTCTTCCCCCCAAAGACTGTACTATTATTTCTTGGCTGTTGAAACGGTTAGATAAAAATAAGCTTGGTCACCCCCAAAATAATAGTAGTGTGATAAAGTATGTAGCTGCAGGAAAACTAGAGGTGTGAGAATAAACTTTGATTTTATCACTTGAGATTAAAATGATTTTTACTTTTGCATGTAAATGAACTGACAAGTACATTGACTTGCTTCTTTTCTAACCTCCAGTATTTACCAAACAATAATAGTTTCCAAGGAGGAAGAATGGAAAAATTAGATAATAATTTCTCTGCTGTCCAGTATCTTCAGTGATAAATGCTGGACTGTAACTTATGTTGTTCCTGTAAGTCATGTGGAAGTCCATGGTGACATTTGAAGGTGAGGTGCTGCTGAGTGTGAGCAGGGAGCTTGGAACAGCTCCAAATTAATTGCTTTATAATGTTTTAATTAATAGACACTGAGACTCCTGTAAC